GAAATCCCCCATAAAACCCTGGCTATGACAGAGATTGATCGAGATCAAGCGATGACTGATGAAATGCTTAGAAAGTTTAGCTACAAGAAGCTATTACGCGTCACAGCGTACATGATTAGATTTATGAGAAACGCCAAGGGAGAAAAATGGAACGGATTGTTAAAGACAGAAGAGATCCTGAACGCTGAGAGATTGTGGTTGCGTCATGTTCAAAGGAATGTCTCGGCGGTTCCCAACGTAGACTTACAGAAAGATAAAGATGATGTTTTGAGAGTAAACAGTCGAATCCCTGGATACCGTCCAGCCTTTATTCCAAGGCGGTGTTGCCTTGATCGAATACTTGTCAGTGACATACATGAACAGATTGGTCACGGGGGAGTGTCTTCGACCATGGCCAAGGTGAGGGAACAGTTCTGGATACCACAACTGAGAGTGTTAGTGAAAAGTGTTATCCACGAATGCAGTAAATGCAAACTATTCCGAGTGAAGCCCCTCCACCCACCAACAACGGCACCATTACCAGAGTTCAGAACAAGGATGACCCACCCTTTTGCTGTCACTGGCGTTGATTTTGCTGGCCCATTGTTGTACCGAACCCCCAAGAGGAAAACAGAGAAAGCATACATAACGTTATTTACATGTTCTACAACAAGAGCTGTCCATCTTAAACTTTGCAAAAGTATGACTGCTGAAGAATTCAAAAGAACCTTGAAAGAGTTTGTGGCTAGACGCGGAACCCCGCACAAACTGGTGAGTGACAACGCCCTGACCTTCAAGGCTGCACATCAATGGCTTGATATGCTTATACAGGATGAGAACTTGTTTAACTACCTGACTACACAACGAATCGAGTGGAGTTTCAATCTCGCGAGGGCCCCATGGTGGGGCGGATTCTTCGAAAGAATGGTCGGCATCATGGAAGTTAGTCTGTCTAAAGTGGTAGGACGGGCTCTACTCAAATATGAAGAACTAGAAGAAGTCCTACTTGATATTGAATGTTTCATGAATAATCGACCGCTCTGCTATCAAGAAGAAGAAATAGAACATCCTATTCTCACGCCTAATCTTTTGATTCATGGGACATCAGCACATTTCTTAGAGGAAGACTTGGAGGCGTTGGATGAGAAAGATCTGATAACTAAAAGAATAAATTTTTTGAAAAATTGTCGGCAGCAACTAAGAAAGCGTTGGCAGACGGAGTATCTCCATGCCCTGGAAGAAAGACACCGAAAGATTGTCGGTAAAGACAAAACGTTGCCTTCGAAGGGATCGGTAGTTATGATTACGGACAACAGTAAAACGAAATCAAAGTGGCAAGTTGGACGGATTGTTGATACTATTCAAGGAAAAGATGGAGTACTGAGGGGATACAAGATCAAGACTGGGACTGGGTATGTTGTTGAACGACCAATACAATTGGTCTGCAACCTAGAAATCAAAGTATGTAAGGATAACGAGCCGTCGAAGAAGAGAGATCACATAGAGAATAAAGTGGTAGCCGACCAGTCGCAAGATGTGGAGTCGAAGAGAAGACCACAGAGGAAAGCAAAAAGTGCAGCGATTAACGTGATCAAGGGTGTTTCGCTAAATGAGTTAGAGGACTAGCTGAAAACTTACATTAAAGCTGTAACAGTTTAAACACTTTAATGGGGGGAGAGTGTAGAAAATCGCTGATGATATTATCATTAGTTAATATTATTAATATTCTGTTAATCGCTCACAGGAGAACTGGTAACGAGTGACGTTAAAAATCGTGTTTGTGGTGTGTTCGAGAACTTTTATGATATTATTTAGTTTTAAATAAAGAAGTAAAAATAACTCAAAAATGTGATTTATTCAGTGTGAACGGACCGGAATTCACCACAGAAAATATTGGAAGTGAATCAGATTAAAAGACAAAACCTTTACTGTACACACATCCCACTTGTATTTCAATGTAGCAATAATTTTTACAGTTGTGAAGGGTTGTTTTGTGGTAAATCATGGATAATAAAATAAATTTATTTTATTATCCGTGGTTAAATAGAGCATGTACATGTAATTTAACTTGAATTAATCTGCTATGACTATGTATGGACTCTCCATAATGATTTTTTTTTACTCTGAGTGGATATCCTCACCGGACAGGCTGAAAAGTTTGCATGGTCATGCGGTGGGACAACTACCTTGTCCAATGTTCTGCCAACTGAGCTACGAGGCCAAGTCTGTTCAAGTGTTTGGTATTTCAGAACTAAGTTTAGTACCTTCAATACCAATGTGTTTTCAGAGCAGATCAAGAAACATTAAATTATTTTCACCTGAGTACATATGTAGCATCAATTGAAAACACACACACAAAAAAATATCAAGTCCATAATTATGTTTACATAAAACATCTATGAAATAATTCTGAAATAATGGATATAATTTGACTCGAGTGATAACAGTGTTACTGTTTTATCTCAAATATTGAATAGTATAAATCCTCACTGACACTGTATGTACTTTCGACCGTTGAAAGAACAAATAATTGAAATATCCAACAGCAAAAGCAGACATCATGCATTTGTTAATAGAATGGATATTTTTGTCACTCAATTGAATTTATTAATTTGGTGATACTAAAAATAGATAGATAGATAGATAGACATATTAAGATTAATTTCATTTACCCCTGTCATCTGAAGCTGATGTCCACAGTGGCTGTGCAAAAATAGCAATACAATATTTGAAATTATTTTTAAAATATGTTATATGGTACATTGTTTCAGCAGTGTACACTCTACAGTGTCCAAATAGCAACATAACAATGTTGAAAGTATTTACAAAATATGTGATATATACAGTAGTGTAGGCTTTAATATTCCTTAGATAAAGTACAATAAAATTGAAATAGACCAGTTGAACTGTATGTTTGAAATTCACCATAATAAAAATGATGGCAGGTGTCAATTTTACCATAATGCTTTGTGACCCTGAATTGGTTATATGAACTGTAAGAACAGTTTATTTTATTAATGCACCAGTCAAAGTAGACCCCCCCCCGGGCAAAGAGGGGACTTGGTGGGGATTTAGTGGCTTTTTGTCATCGAATTCTGTCCCAACCATGTCGGGAATTTGTTGGTTTTGTCATTCTGCCGAATTATGCCGGGAAGATAATGGGGATTGTTAGGGGATTGTCTGCGGCCATTTTGTACAGTTTTGTCCAATGGAATCCCCAGGTTCTATCATTTTATACCATGTGATTTGCAAAGGACAAAATGACATGCTCGTAAGGAAATGAAATCGGGAAGAATTTTATAAATATATTAATTTAATTTCTTTTCAATCTATATGTTAATACCGGTTTAATAATATGTCCATCCTTCCATGGAATCTATTGTTGTGGAAAGCTCGACATTTGTTTGTTTATATTATTATTATGTTTTTATCGTTCTTTTGAGTTTCAAATGGAACAAAATATTAATATTTTAAAATGTGGACGGTTTATGCGGCGCGCAGCCCGGAGATTGTCAGGGAGATATTATGCAGGAGATAAATTCATGCACACGACTTACAATTATCACCCAGGGGGTGGGGCATTTTTTGTTTTTTGCTAGAAAATTTTGTCCCATATTGTGGGGCATTTGTCTGTTTTGGTACAGTATTCAAAGCCAATCCCCACCTATATCCCGGGGTGGGGGGTCGGGGTTTACTTTGACTGGTGCATAACATTGATAAAAGCTGTGATTATATCTTACAAATTTTATGGCCTTGATGCTGTATTTTCAAATATTTTCTTAAGATAAGTTTTCTTCTTGCAAAGAATTATGGTAAAGTCAACATGCCCCCAACATTACGGTCGATTTACACTTTCTTCTGTAGAGGCTTTGTGTTTTAATTTGGGTTTTTTTCGAAGTTTGCAGGCAGAATAGTTGAGAGGCAGAGCGTGGGACTTGAAAAAATCCAAAACAAAACACAAAGCCTCTACAGAGGAGAGTGGTCAATTTAAAAAGAGATATATTTAATAAATCTTAAAGTTTCTTCGCCAAACATACGTTTCATGGCCAAAGCTGAATTCTTCGTATCTTGCGGCACCATCTGTCGGTTGTGAACAGTGCGGAAATGATGCGCAAGTCCACTTTCTTTAAAAAAACGAAAGTTTTCCAGGCATTCAGCCATCGGACAAACAACTTTATTCGTCAGATACGCCTCGTGAAACGGCCTTGAAAATATTTCGTCCCTTTCTCGCTCTTCGATAAACAGCGTCCGCCATTATAACGTCCGCCATCTTGAATTAGGATTTCCCAGTCGCTTCCCTCGCCGTCACATTCCCATCAATCAGCGCGCGTTGGGTAATTCAACGCGCGCGTTACTGAAGCGACTGGGGACGAGTCAGGTATTGTACCACTGACAAGTAAAATTGTCTGGTGTTAGACAGAGTAAATACTAAAGTTAGACGCATTTGGGCAGATTGCCAGTTACCGTTACTATTACCTGGCAATGTGCCCAAATGCACTATTAACCCATTAACGAGCAATGCGCCCTACTTTGATATTTACTCCGTCTAACGCCAAACGATTTTACTCGCCAGTGGTAGAATACTGGTGGGTAATGGGTTAATATACAGTACGAAAGTGGGCGCATTTTCACCGTTAGAACTATTAAAGATTGGAACGCCCTCGATGTTACATTGCACAAACAGAAATCTATATCTATGTTTAAACACAGTTTGTATACTAAAATTTTAATGGACCAGAAGTCCGCCATGCGTTTAGAAATTACTTAGGTGGGTGGTGGGTTATTTTATTTGTAAACATAGTAGTTTTAGAGTTTTTATAAGTTTTAGTATTGTATTAGCTTAATTGTAGTTATGTAAGGAGGGCCACGACTTTATCAGTAGTTCACACTTACTGTCAAGGGTTTACCCTCATGAAATAAAGTCTGAATAATACCTGACAACCAGTTCTACTCATTTAGCCCAAAATGGATTTTCATTCACGGAACCAAATACAAAGTTGGATTTTTGCTGTGGGTTGGCCACAATGAGGAAGAAATGCCATGTTTTGCATTCCTGAAAGAAATATGTATGGTTGAAAGAAATGTGGAAAAATTTGACTAATTACTGATACACTGCACACAGTATCATTTATGAGCCATTTAAATGCATATGAGGTTTACAATGCAACAAAGTTGATGATAGTGAACCAACAACAGCTCCCATATCCTCTCCCACTACATTTGAAGGGCAGGTCAAAACAGTTGTGTGCCCAAAATATCAAGTGGCAGTTCTGTAACAGAAACATTAATAATTTTAGTTTGGCATACACATGTTGTAAATAAGTTGCTTCTGTCAAGCTGATACGATTCTAATGTAGGGTTGTGAATGCAACTTTTCCCGCTTAGAGGGTCCTAGACCGGTGGTTTCTGTTCCAATAATGTATTAGTCAACCTTTGTGTTTACCTCCTGAAGGTTAGCATGCATGCAACTGGGAAATTTTGTAACAGTACTCAGTCTGCTGCTACTGGAAAGCGTAAATACTGTACTGTCTTGTTTAATTTTCAAAAGGCTTTTTTTGTGGGGTATTGTAGCCGAGTCGTCCGACAAGACTGCAATTTACATATTTGTAGGTTAAATATTGATGTAAATTAAATAATTATATTCTACTTCATATACAGTACAATGTTTACTTTTGCTTTTACTTTTAGGTTAAGGGCTGACAAAAATATTCGTTTTAAAAACGTTAGACTTACTTGAATATCGCTTGTTCATATCCATGATGATAAGTTGATGATATTCATGACGATGCACAATTTTACATGTGGGTCTGTTACTCTGTACTCTTGTAGGATTTGTGCATTTCGATGTTAATCCATAGAATATCCCAATTATGCTTTTTCAACAATTTTGTCTCAATCTATGTACTGCCGAGATATATGCACTTCGTCATATGCGTAGAAAAAATCTCATAAATGTTTTGGAATCGTTCATTTTAAAAAGAATTTGCAAAAAAATGCTCACTGTCAAGAGTCCGCCATTTTGTAATTTTCTCGCATTACCCCACACGTACCAGGCAAATTCTACCCCCTGCAGGTGGGTGATCCCCTGCAAAGTGCAAACGACTTTGCCAAAAGGTTGAACTTTAAACTTTTGTATATAATGATAAACTTTTTTATATAGAACAACAACAGATATTTAACATTTAAAAGAAATGTTCTAAAAATCCCAACTATATCTTAACCTACATATCATAGCTAAGTGTTGTTATTTTCTCTCAAACTGAATTAATTATTTTTTTAAATATATCATTTTGGCGGTTTCTATGTCTATGAAGACACTATTGTTTAGCGAATTTCTTGTAAATAGCTAATATATATGACTAAATGTATTTTTTCCTTCATTTTGTAAAGTAATGTAATATTTTTTGGCAAATTACACTGCAGTGAATATAGAAAATAAATAAATGCTCGCAGCCTTGCTCATTGGGACAAAATCCACCATTTTGAAGAAAAAAACTGTTACCTCACGCGTAAAGGGTAATTTCTCCCCCCATTTTTTTTTACTCCAAAAAAGAAGTAAATGTGGCCAGTCACATTATAACCTCTTATTTGAGGGGTAATTTTCCACTCATGAACGCAAATTACCCCAAGCTTTAGAGTAATAAATCTCCCGTGATCGCCAACCCTCTTGAGGATGGTAAAAATTGGGAAAGTACAAAACATGGACCCCCTCTATGGACCGGGTCCTTGGACCGCCTCTATGGACTGGGTCCATGGACCCCCTCCATGTGCCGCATTTTTCCAAATTTCAATATTACTGTTAAACATGATTAGAGTTTTCAATTTTTAAAAATATTTTAGTGGTTTTAATGCATACTTTTGTTCTTAGCAGCAAACCTCATCTACACTCCAGTGTTTTCTTCATACTAAAGTGAGGCTTGCTAACGACATATCATGACAGATCAATGCACCATGTGAATAATAATCGTGTCACTGACTTGCAAAGCCGGTCAATGATCACAGCCTGTGAAATTAAAGAAACCACTGCCAGCAAAGTGTTGAAATAATAATTAAACCACTTTCATTGATTGTGCATCTTAATTAGCCTTCTTGTTTCAATATACAAAAAAGTGTTTCAATTTGTCTCTTATGAAAGTGGTATAAAGGCACTGTTCATAATCAGCAATTTGATTTGCTTCGATTAATACATTTTTGTGAGCTGTGCACTAGCTAGCCGGATGTAGTTGTTATTTGGAACAAATTAATAGAACATTTTGACCTTGCAAGTAAAATTGTTTTCTCCTTGTACAGGGTTATTTATATTCAGGTGTATTGAAAATTCCTGTTAACATTCATTCATAGATGGGGCCATTGAGAAATCGCGTGTCCGTGGACCCAGTCCATAGAGGGGGTCCATGCATGGACCGGGGGTCCATGGACCAGGGGTCCATGGACCGGGGGTCCATGTTTTGTACTTTCCCGTAAAAATTACCCCAAAAAGGGATAATTTTTACTCCTTAAAATTTACAGTGTAGCTTAAACTCTATAAACCTTAAACTTTAAACTCTAAGCTAAGCACACAAAGCATAATAGTAGCACGATTTAAACAGTTTAGAAATCATGTATTCTTAGAAACATGGTAAATATCTTCATATGGCTGCAATTTTCAACTACTATATAGGAATTCAAAATTCCTATAGGAATTCCTATAGGAATTAAAAATGGTCAAAACAATTCCTATAGGAATTGAAATTTCCTATAGGAATTCCTATAGGCATTGAAAATTCCTGTGGGAATTCCTATAGGAATTGAAACATTTTCAATCTCTAAGAAACAAAACAGCAGATGTTGTTGACCATGTTGTGAATTCTAATATTGACATTTGTGTTTTTACTGAAACCTGGCTGAAAGATGTTGACTCTGTTATGATTGCCGCTGTTTCTCCTAATGGTTACTGTTTTGAAAATTCGCCCAGAGAAAATGATAGATCAGGCGGGGGAGTTGGAGTTATGTACAAGAGTATAATGAGAACTAAGTTAATGGATGCTAATCAGTTCAGATCGTTTGAATTCTCTGAGTGGAATGTAACGATTCAAAATCAAGTTATTAAACTTGTTGGTGTGTATCGTCCGCCATCCTCTACTAACTATCCTCAACCCATGAGTTTGTTTTTTGAGGAATTTTCCACTTACCTTGAAAGTATTGTAATATCAACTGAGAGGTTACTTATTTCAGGCAATTTTAATTTCCATGTTGAATCTACTGACGATACTAATGCCAAAAGATTCTGTGAGCTTTTGTAAACATTTGGTTTAAGCCAACATGTGGCCTGTCCAACTGATCATACTTCTGGACATACTCTAGATCTTATAATATCTAGATCAATTAATGATGCGATTATAACTGAATTAGAATCTATGTTGGCTTTATCTGATCATTCGTTCATTGAGTGTAATTTGAATATGCCTAAGCCAAATTTTGTTGTTAAGGAACTTCCATTCCGTCAGTTGAAAAGAATAGACATTCCCATGTTTAAAAACGATATTTCCGGGTCTGAATTATGTGTCAATTCCTTTTCGGATATTGAGGAGTTTACACCTTGTTATGATACGACTTTGTTAAATCTTCTTGATAAACACGCTCCTATCAAGACGAAAAAGATGGTTATGAGACCTGTTGTATCTTGGTTCACTGATGATCTTAAAAAGCTTAAAGCTGAACGACGGAAATGTCAGAAATGCGAAAGAAAAATGCTTCAATCTGGTTGTTCCCATGATAAAGAGCTTTATTATAAGACTAGAGATAAATACAGTGCCCTTCTTCGTAAAACAAAGACTAGCTATTATTCTGATTAAATTGACAAATGTTCGGGCAATTCTAAGAAATTGTTTTGTGTTATTAATTCGTTGTCCAAACAGAAGTCATCTGAAAGTTTACCACCTTATGAGGATCTGTTGATTCTGGCAAACGAATTTGGAACATTTTTCAGTAGAAAAATTGAACTTATCAATGACGAAATTAATAAGATTGGTGTTAATCCGATAGCTACTGAACATTGTTTACCTGAAGTATTGCTTAAATCCTTTTCTCCTGTGTCGCAAGATGATATACGAGGATTTATTTTGAAAGCATCAAATACCCTCTTGTAAACTTGATCCAATACGAACTTATTTGCTTAAGGATTGCTGTGATGTTCTGTGTCCGATAATTACAAAAATGATCAACATGTCGCTGGAGAAAGGAATAGTTCCTGAAAATTAGAAATTGGCACTTGTAGATCCCTGTCTTAAGAAACTTGGTACAGATTTAGTGTTTGAAAATTTTAGACCTGTTAATAATCTTCATTTTATTGCAAAGGTAGCTGAGAAAGTTGTCATGTCGCAATTAGTTAATCACTGTAACGAAAATGCACCACTGCCTGTCAGTCAATCAGCATATCGTCAGTTCCATTCAACTGAAACTGCGCTGCTTAAAGTGCAGAATGACATACTTATTAATATGGACAACGAAGAGGTTACATTGCTTGTTATGCTCAACATGAGTGCCGCCTTTGACACTATAGACCATAATATTCTTATTGATATCCTCAAGAATGATTTTGGAGTAGTGGACAGAGCACTTCAGTGGTTTAGATCGTATCTGGCTAATAGAAAGTGTAGACAAACTCACAATCCGAGTGTTGTTTTGCGATAAATGTATTTCTAACTAAAAAACTTTTACAACAACAACATGTTATATATCATGCAAATTTTAATAAATCTAAATAACCTAAATTGTCTATTGTCCTAAATTGAATATAAACCAACTAATGTCAAAAACACTATTAATTAACGTCCAATTAATGACACTCCCACTTTTTTGACATTTTTAAATGTTAAATTAAGCAATAAGTTCTAGTCCAAGAGCATATCGTTTGGCAACTAGTCGCGCTTTGAAACTATTTACTCTTCCATCAGAATCGTGCTTTGCCGTTCGACCGGATGGCAACTGTACATGTCTCCAGGTCTTGTTTTCCATCAGTGAATTGTATTCTGAGTCAGAAGCAGCCATCCATTCTTTCGAGTGTTGGTTTTCTTTAGCTTTGCTCATGGACGAGGGTTCTTCTATCTCACATACATTGTAAGCGACATGACGTGCGGGATGTACAGGACTAGCAGTCTCTGCATACTCGTCGTATCCATATCTGACAGGGGCTTTCCGTGTTCTACCAGAAGTCCTTGGTTCTGTGGATACTTCTTCTCCCACTTTTTCTTCTTCGAATTCCACCGTTTCTTCTTTCACGTCTTCTGTCGTTTGATCTTGAGATTTTGTCGTCATTATTTCATCCCTTCGGACGACCATCTTTCGCTTGATTTCATCGAACAAACGGTATCCTTATGACGTACGACAATAACCAACAAAGCGTAGTCTTTCCGCTTTCTTGTCCAATTTTTGTCGTTTGCTGTCTGGAACATGGGCGAAGGCCATACACCCAAACACACGGAAATGACTGACGTTCGGTTTTCTTTCATACCATCGCTCGTACGGCGTTGTATTCCCTTTGATTGCTGTCGTAGGCATTCGATTTCTCACCTAAACAGCCGTGGAAATGGCTTCAGCCCAGTACATCTTAGGTAATCTTGCTTGTGCGATCATCGACCGAGCAGACTCGACCAACGTTCTATTCATACGTTCAGCGACACCATTTTGCTGAGGAGAATATGGAACAGTTAATTCATGCTTAATACCTTTCGCTTTGAGATAATCTTGAAATTCTGTGGAAAGATACTCGCCACCATTATCAGTTCGCAATATTCCTATCGATCTTCCAGCCTCGTTCGTTGCTGCAGCCTCAAACTCTTTAATTTTCTCCAGAACTTCTAACTTCTGCTTCATAAAGTACACTGCACAACATCGAGAGTAAACATCAGTGAACGTCACGAAATATCTTGCTCCGCCAAATGACTCTGTTTGCATTGGACCACACACATCGCTATGTACTAGCTGTAACTTGTGAGATGAACGAATTTCTTCCCGAGCAAAAAATGGCTTTCGATGCATCTTTCAGCCAAACATGCTTCGCAGAACGAAAGTTTGTCAACGTTTTCACAACAAATTCCTTTCACAATATTATTCTTAATGCAGCTATTTAGTCGTTGCTCGTGTACGTGTCCCAACCGTTGATGCCAAAGATCACTACTTTCCTGTGAAGCTAACGTAGCGTGTCCGTTTGAGACGTCTTCGCAATCCAACTTGTACAACTTGTTGACTAATGATCCCATTCCTCGTAGTGTCCCACTGGCATCACTTATCCAGCATTTATCACCACGAAACTTCACCACATCGCAACGGCAGCTCGAACGGAAAACAGGTTAGAGGTAAGCTTTGGAACATACAACACATTACACAGTACACCTCGCTTCGACTTGCTCCCAGAGAACAACATATCCATATGCACGTTACCAGATCCCAACGCTTGTACAACATGACCATCTCCCAAGGCAACGCTTTCGGGTTCCCCAAACTGTTGATAATTCACCAGAACACTTTTGTCCTTCGTCAGATGACTTGAAGCTCCAGAATCGATCAACCAATGACAATCAGAAAGCTTTGCATTTCCCTCGGACACTGTAAATACACAAGCACCACTTTCAGATTCACTATCAGAGTTTTGGGTCTTTCCGACTTTTGCTCCATGTCTTGATTTATACACTGGCTTTGTATATCTCGCTTTTTCCTGAGGGCAATTTCGACGAATATGGCCAACAGTTCCACACTTAAAACACGTCCGACTTTCCTGAAAATTTTTCTTTCGGTTTCCCATTAAGGCAGACTCATTCTTAACTGACTCGTTCTTAGGTCCTTGCTTCGATTCTTCATGCATAAGAGCTTGTTGAACGAAGTCCATTTTCACATCATCAACTCTGGCTTCTAAGGCAGTTACAAGAGTTGCATAACTTCTCGGCAAACTTCCTAATAAAGTCACAACTTGATCCTCTTCAGAGATAGGTGCACCGATAGCTGCCAATTTATCCGCGATGTCCTTCATGTGTTTCAAATGTTTCTCCATAGAAGTTCCTTCTTTCATCTCCGTTCGGAAATACTTTTTCTTTAAAAACAGTTTGTTCGCCAACGTATCTCGCTCAAAATGATTCTTTAGTGCATCCCACGCTTGCTTCGGATTTTCACATGAGCTAACCAAATATAGCTGAGCTGATTTAATTGCTAAAACAATTGTTGAGAACGCCCTTTGCGCTTTCGAACGAAATTGTGCCGCCGTTTCTTCCGAAGCTGACCCTGCTAGCTCTTCCGAACCGTCTACGAAACCCCACAGCCCTTTCGCCAACAGCAAATGCTTCATTTGAAACTTCCAAGTACTCCAATTGCTCCCGTCTAACTTGTCGATTGACCATTTTTCCTCCATTAGTCGTCAACAGACCAGTACGAGTTATTATTACAAGCGTTATTTGTTCAGCAAACTGAAGTTCTATCGAAAAACCGGCGACGTAGGATTGTTAAACGATCCTAACAGCATGTTCTGGGCCCATAACCTGTAGACAAACTCACAATCCGAGTGTTGTTTTGCGATAAATGTATTTCTAACTAAAAAACTTTTACAACAACAACATGTTATATGTCATGCAAATTTGAATAAATCTAAATAACTTAATTAATTGTCTATTGTCCTAAATTGAATATAAACCAACTAATGTCAAAAACACTATTAATTAACGCCCTATTAATGACAAAAATTTGACAAGTATAATTGCGCAATATACTTCACTGAGTAAATCTCGTTTATTTCGAAATTCGCTTTTAAAGTGTGGTATCGACGTATCGTAGACGGCTTCAGTTATTTTTAACCTTATTGGAAGCGGCTTTGAACAAAAATTATAGTAACTACAGTTCGCGTAAGAAACACATAATAGTTATGATAAAGATAATTGAAAGTAGGTTAAAACAATCAGATGGTGTTAAAACAAGGGCTATGGTCATGATTAGAGTTATGAATA